ACATTTTCCTCAGAGTATCTGATTTTTTCTCCTTTTGTGCCCCCTCTTTCCGAAATGTTTGCAGAATTTTCTCAGCTATATTTTCCGCAGTCCTTCCCTGCAATGTTTCAACAAATCTGTAGAGGACTGAGAAATCCAAAACCCCTTCCTCTTTCTATATTCATTTAATAATCAAATGTATGGATTTATTTATCAAATTTATATAGTTGCCTATCTATTGAAAGCGACTCTGTGGCTAAGACGCTGAGCTTGTCGAACAGAAAGGTCAACAGTTCAGTGGTTCGAATCCCTAGCACCGCATAACAGAGTGAACTCCTGTTACCTGTCCCAGCTTCTGCCAACCTAGCAGTTTGAAAGCATGTAAAAATGCAAGTAGAAAAATAGTGACCACCTTTGGTGGGAAGGTAACAGCATTCCATGCACCTTCGGCATTTATTCATGCCAGCCACATGACCACGGAGACGCCTTTGGACAGTGCTGGCTCTTCGGCTTTGAAAGTGAGATGAGCACCGTCCCCTAGAGTCAGGAACAACTAACACATATGTGCGAGAGGTCTTATGGTCCAACTTTCACAGCCATACATTAAAACCCAGTTTTTAGAAGTAAAATAAGGGGCAGAAAAAGTGGCCCTCAGAGAATAGAGTTCAAGTTTGATCATTGTATTTCCAAATCTGCCTTGAAAAAGGAATCCTAGAATCCCAAGATAGAATTGCAGAAATAATTGGTTCGCTGTTGCTTAAAACACATTTTCAAACTGTGTTGAATAAAGCTGAATAAATGCTGAATAAAGAGATGTTGATGTTATCTTGCGGTTACTGTTTTGTCCAGAAAAGTAGTGTACAACCTTTTTGATAAAGTGTTATTTCTCCAATTTCATTTTTAAAAAAACTGGGTGATGATTGCTGTTGAGAGAGAACAGAAGAAAGAACACCTCTGCCATAAATTACATTTAAGCATATTTGTAAATATATAACTATGTATTATTTTTTAAGTTCTCTTGCTGTAAAATGCAGTTACAGGTAGTTCTCAAGTTATGACCACAATTGAGTCCCAAATTTATGTTTTGCCCCTTTTTACGACTTTTCTTGCCACACAGCTATTAAGTGAATCATTGCATTTGTTAAGTTACCGTAGTAACCCTAACCTTAGCCCTAACCCAGGTTGAATCTCCCCTTGTTCAGTTTCCATCCATTATTCCTTGTCCGGCCTTCGGGTGCTTTGGAAAATAGCTTGACCCCCTCCTCTCTGAGGCATCCCCTCAAATATTGGAAGACTGCTATCATGTCTAGAGTCAACCTAGAATTAGGGAGTAATTTCCTGACATAACAATTCATCAGTGGAATGACTTGCCTCCAGAAGCAGTGGTTGCTCCATCACTGGAGGCCTTTATGGACATCCACTTGTCTAGAATGGCATAGGACAAGGGGTTGGACTAGAAGACTTCCAAGATCCCTTCCAATACTGTTATTCTGTTCTTTCTGTTAAGATTAGGCTGTTTCAGGATATCTGTCGGAAGAGGGCGCCTTAGAGCTTCAGAAGGAGCTTAAGTCCGTATCTACCACAATAGAGAAAAGGCAGAGGAATCCTTTGGTTTAATATTGGTACCAACATTTCCAGTCCTACGACACCCCTGCCTGATCCGTTTCTACACGGCAATGCTCAGAGGCATTGTAATGAAAATGGTACCAACATCTTTATTTGACTGGAAGGACATAACATGAAGGGACACCTCTGCTTGCTTGTGAGGTCCAGTATGAGTTTTGCAAAATGAGAAAAAGTCACAGAGGGAGGTGTTTGCCACTCTGCAGGAAAAGATAATGCAAAAGTGGGGAATAAGATGAAATAAAGGAACTCCTCCATAAAGAAAAACTGCAATATTGGGCTTTCAAATTTAAGACTAAAGGTGGGTAAGAGGAGTTACAATTGAACTAAACAATAATGCAGGTAACAAAAAAAAGATATTTTTCCTATGCTTTTTACATTATTACAGCTCAGGGATTGATCATATCAATTTGATAATCTTTATAACCTGGGACCACATCACATTTAAGAGAATAATGTAATAACAAGAGCTGGAAAGGACCTTGGAGGTCTTCTAGTCCAACCCCCTGCTCAAGCATGTGTCCCTTACCGTGTTCATATATATCATCATGTTATAGCATATTTGGCAGGAGGTTGCGAGGGCCGCAATTGGTAAGAAAACATGCAAAGTGGGTGGAATTTAATTTGCTAGAATTTGGAAAAGTTGGAGGAATTCTTCATTTTTTTAACTCTGAGAAATCTCTTGTAGAGATTGACCATAATTTGAGAGGGTTTTTTTTAATCTCTGTGAAAATGCATTCAGTAGCCACAGTCAGCCCAGCTCAATCTTAGGTGAATTTTACAAGAGAACGGAAAGAGACAGAAATACTGATTGTCCAAGAAGAATCAAAATAAAATTCTTTTTAAGAGAGCAGGATTCTAGTGCAGATTTGCTGAAGCAGAAAGGAAGAGGTTTTGCAAAGTGCCGCATTTTAAATGGGCCTATTTTGTGGGGATGTCTCTGGAAATCATGGGAATTACAGGACAACGCAGGGTTTTGCAACCTTAGCAACTTTAAAAGTTGTGGACTTCAACTCCCAGAATTCCTCAGCCAAGCTAGCTGAGGAATTCTGGGAGCCTAACTCTACACCTCTTAAAGTTGTCCAAGTTGAGAAATGCAGGGAGTCTACAGAATTTGTTGGGTGAATTTGGATAAGACCCCAATCAGTCTCCACAATGTAATGGTGAAAATAAAATGAAGGCAGATTTCCTATCTTGCAAGGACCTCTGACCTTTTAAAAGAAAACATTGGCTCTAAATGTATCCACATCCATAGCCCCATTTCATTCCCGTTCATTATGAATATTCAAATCCTTCTGGGTAGTCATTTGACACCCCTGGCCAAGGGTCTTTTTATAGCTTGAGTGCTCTTACCAGCTTGCATAACAGGTGGTAGTCAGTCAACTGGTTAAGCTTTTCCAAGTAGCAAAGCTTGTTGATTTTTGGCTTTCGTTGTGCAGCTTTTAAAGGCTCAGGCTCTGAGAAAGAAACCCTAGTCTAGATCAAATCAAACTATAGAGATGGGAGAAGTAATCTAATCCTGCCCTAGTTAACTTCCCGCCATGTTTGAAAGATATAGCAATGTGTTGCTCCTTCCTTTTATCTTGCATATCATGCACCGATTGTAGACAATTCAGACAACACAAACTATACACTGGCATTTTTTGCAAGACCTCATAGCTCATTTTCTAAAACTGTGAATAATAGCAGCACATGCAGAGGTTGTATTCAACCTGTTCGGATTGGTTTGCTTGAACTAGTAGTGGAAATTGTGGGTGGGCCTGCCCACCCGTCATGGCTCTATGCCCTCCTATTTAAGCACTTTTTTGAGGTCAGGTGCATGCGCAGAAGCAAAGTGCATGCACAGAAGGCCAGGCACATGCGTGGAAGGGGTCCATGCACCCGTGAAGTGAGTGCGTGTGCTTGGGGCAAACTGGTGGTAACAAAATGTGAAACCCACAGCTGAGTGCGTGTATTGCAAATACTTCATAGAGTAAGGGATATGCACATGGATCATCTAAGGATGATCTCAAGGGAGATCTAACTTCATGGAGCATCCAAGTGAGATCTCAAGGAGGAGATAACTCCAGGGAGACTTAAAATAGCCAACCAAACAGTTGCTATGAGAGGGAATTTGTCTTGCTTAATAAAATATAGGTGTTCAAACTCAAGGTATTAAGTCTGGTGTCTGAAGACTGGAGTTCCTATTCCTTGT